ATTTGCATATTACCCTTTTTACATATTATATAGAGGTCTGGTGCATGGGTGGGGGCCGGCTGGTTTGCCCTGAAGGGTGTCACGGATCAGGGTAGGGGTCTTGCTGGGGTGCCTGGCCAGCCTGGGTGAGGCGCTGAGGTCCATTTTCGGACTGGCCACACCCCCTTCAGGGAGGGGGATCCTGCTGGGGTGCCTGGCCAGCCTGGGTGAGTGGTTGATGGCTGTTTGCAAGTTGGCAAGCTCCCCAGCAGGGACCCTCACCCCATGAGAGTGTGGCCATGCTGGGTGAGGGACTGATGGCTGTTTGCAGACTGGCCATGGTCCCCAGCCACCCAAGCTCTCAGTAGAGGCTGGCCGGAAGCAGGTATCTGGGATTTATTTATCTTCTATAATTGAAACTTGTTGCCTTGAGCAGAGACCACAGCCGACCAGGGCAGGCGGGAAGCTTGGTTTCCTCCATCGCCAGGGCAACCAAGCCTCCTGCTTGCTCCAGCTAGGTGGCTGCCAGCTGCTGTCTTGGTTGGGTTCATTTGCATATAGTCACTCTGATTTGCGAGTGGGTGTGGTTTGGGGCATCAATTTGCATGTTTCTCTTTTATTAGATTACAGAATACAAAGCATACTAAATGGCAATTTGGAGTCAGTTATGCGTTTGCTATGTCTTGAACATTTTAAATTACTTCTATTCACATGTTTTTGGTAGTACTGTTTCCTAAAGAAAACCACTCCTTGATCTTGGCTCTCCCTATCAGAATTTTGTGCATCTGTAACATCTTTGGTGTGGTAGTCCCATTTTCCTAGTAACTTTGTCAATGTGCTGTGAAAGATTGAAAATTTGATTATGTGGTATATATGATATTCAATTGTGAATTAGTGGGATTTTGATGTAACAGCACATCAACATTTGAAGATATTGGTACTTGATACTCTATTAAGGAAAGTTAGCCTCTAAATGTTAAGCTGGAAAGTCCCTGGAATAACTGTTTAGAAAAGAATCACAACTACACGACTTCACATTTTTGGTACAAATGTTAAGAATTGTGTACAAATTGAAATGCCTGTGTACAGATCCTCAAAACAATAAAATCTCAATTATGAAAGGGGAAAAAAAAGAGGGAGTGAAAGGTGGCCATGAATCCTGAGGATTAAAAAATCAAGATGGAAGATGAAGAAAAATGGGACATGAAAGGTTATAGAACTGAGGACTCAATATTTGCCTTTGGAAATTTGGTTTTGTTCCATTGACCCTATGTGGCACAAAGGGCTCTCTCTCTCTGGCATTGACCTGATGAAAAACATAAATTTTATCTATGCTTTACATCAGCAGCCGCCAACCAGGGGTCTGTGGACAACTGGTGGTCCCTGAGGTCCGAAAAGTTGGCGACCACTGCTTTACATCATTACCACCTGAAAATATTTTCAAACTACCAGGACAGGCTGGCTGCACAATGCAGCCAGAGGGGGCTTTCTCAACTTAACTCAAGTCCCCTCCTGCTCAAAACAGTGCCATATCTGTGACTTAGAACAGTGCTTCTTTTGCATATTTTGCAAATATGCAAAAGAAGCACCTTAGAATCTTATTAAATGCACCTTGTCCAGTTTGGCTCAGTGGATAGAACATTGGCCCTCGGACTGAAGTGTTGAGGGTTTGATTCCCAGTCAAGGGCATGTATCTCTGTTGCCGGCTCAATCCCCAGTTCCCATCGGAGGCAACCAATCTGATGTGTCGCGCTCACATTGATGTTTCTCTCTCTCTGTCTCTCCCCCTCCCTTTCATACTCTCTGGAAATTCATGAAAAAAAAATATCCTCGGGTGAAGATTAACAATAACAACAAAGAAGATTCTTATTGCCTGGCCGGCATGGCTCAGTAGTTGAACATTGACCTATGAACCAGGAGGTCATGTGTTGATTCCCAGTCATTGCACATGCCCAGGTTGTGTGCTCAATCCCCAGTATGGGGCATGCAGGAGGTAGCTGAACAATGATTCTCTCTCATCATTGATGTTTCTATCATTCTCTCCTCCATTCTTCTCTGAAATCAATTATATATATATATATATATATCTTTTAAAAAGGAATCTTATTAAATGCATATTTTTATTCAATGGGTCTGAGGTGGGCCTGAGAATCAGCATATCCACCAAGTTCCCAGGTGATACTGTAGCAGTGTGTTTCCCAAAAATGACCACAGCAATATTTCCTGCCCCACATGCACTCCCCATAACGGGTGAAGTCCATTTCCCCTTGACGTGAACCGGCCAGGACTTTGCCCTTGCCTTAAATGGAATGTGGCAAGAATGACTGCATGACTTCTGAGGCCATGTCATGCAAGGGGATGTGGCTTCTTCCTGGCTCATCTTTGGGGCACTTGCCTTTGGAACCCACCCACCACAAAAACCCCATAAAGGAGTTTCTCCCCTTTTGCTGGGCGGAGAGGCCCAGGAGGGCAGACCTGGTGCTCACCTGGTCATTGCCGTATGTAGCTCAGTAGCATTGGCATTGATGACAATACAGGTGGAACTGGCCACATCCAACCAAGTTCCCTGGGTGCCTCCCCCATAGAGGTCACCTCCATAGTCCAGGCCATGGCTGAGAGCAACTCCCACCCAGGTGTCAGGGGCCACTCATCATGCTGTTCTTGCACAGTGAACATTCCCTCCCGAGTCACTCCCGCCAGTCTCCCCTCAGTGCCTTTCCACAACCCCAGTTCCTTTCTCCCAACAGACTTGGCATCTGTGAAGCATGGACCCAGGCACACTGGGTGTAGCTTCCAAGAGGCCCCAGACTGTCCAGCCTCTTTCTAGAGTGCCAAGTGAGGGGAGGGAGTTCTGCTCACACCCATGCTCTGGGGTTGTCTTTCCCCTTCACTGGGTACTAGTCTGACTTTCAGCATTCTCCCCAGCCTTCCTTCCTCCCACCTCCTTCAGCAGAGATCCTGGAAGCTTCAGACCTGGCTCAGATTGGCTAAGAAGGACCAGGTTGGGGCATTGGGCCTGAATGCCCAACCCACCCCCCTCCCCCCACCCAAAGGCTCCAGTCTTGAGGGACTCTACTGGACAAAAGGAGGCAGCTTGTCTTTAAGAAGGAAATCTCCATGGAGAGGAACTCAGCACCTCTTCTGCCAACACCTCACTTCTCTGTGAACATCCTCACTCCATACTAGAAATTGCTTAGATAAGGAATTGCAAAAATGGGCGCCTGGTTTTGTGAATGCCTAAATATCTCTCCTGAAGCGATGTCTCCCCTCAGGCTGGAGCTCTCCACCTCTGTCTTGGGCATCTTTTTTGCAAATGTGGTAGGCAATAGGGGCATTTACAGTCGGCTCTTCCTCAGCCACCAGGCGCTGATACCTACTGTCTCTTGCTGGTGGAGCTGTGACTCATTTGCAACACATCTGGGGACATCAAACGCTCAAATATTGCTAGTGGGAATGCGTCCTTTCAGGGGGCCTCCCTGAAAGCACTGAGGAGACCCCCGTGTGGGAGGAATGGTAAGGTTTATTGGGTTTATTGACATAAACAGGAAGGACTATCCAAGGTTCAGCTGTGGTGTCTCAGCTCCCCCCACTCCACCCCACCCCCTAGCCTTGTCTTCACCAAGAAAAGTCCAGCCTTGTCTTCACCAAGCCCAAAACGAAGGACAGTGTTCAGCCTGTGTCCCTGGAGCGAGAATGCCCTTGGCAGGCAGCCCTGTGGTCCCTGGAGTGCCTATGATATGAATGCTGCAGCTTCCTCGGGAAGCAGGCTTATGCTGCCCTGTAGATTAGGCCTGATTCCCTTTGCTTCCTTTCTTTATTAATATCTACACTTAGACAACCACTGTGGAAAACAGTCTGCTGGTTCCTCAGAAAATTAAACAAAGGCCATTATCCCTCTGGGGAGCACGCCCACACCCTTCTTCCCCCACAGGCATGCATCTCCTAAACTCTTCTGCAACCAGGGGAAATATGGGCACCATCAACTCATCCTGGGCTG